TGGGTCTCTATCCCCAGCATAAGACAAGTGGGAATTTCCATAGCTCTGAGGTTTGAGAACAGCTGAGCTACAAACACACTCAGAAGAGTCTAAAAGCTCCTGCTGGGGGTTCTAACTGCCAGCACTTTCAAAGATCTATGTTTTTTTTCCTGCAAAGGTACAGCACATAATTACAACGATGTACCAAATTCAATTCTGTGGGAGGCAGGTTGGAGGACAAGTCAGTGGGAAGCTATGCAACTAATCTACCCCCCTAAAGAAGAGGATTATTGATCACAGAAGGTGTGGGAACTAGCATATCCCTCTTACCAGGAGATCTGCCTCTAGACAGAGGCAAGGTCCCTGGGTTTTTATTTCTTTTTTCCTTGTTCTTCTTTTTTTTTTTTTTTTCCCAACCAATTGTATATGATAAGAAGCAAACCCAAGGAAGTGGCTACTAAAAAAACCCCAGTCCCTGTCTCAGGTAAATTTATCTCTTTCAAAATTTCCCTCAATTTTACCAATTTATTGTTTTTGTTCATCATTATTATTATTACTGTTATTATTATTTTAATGAATCTTGCAAGCATAATCTCACTTCTGGCTTATGTCTACCCCTAACTGATGAGATTTTGTTTCTATCATTTAGGAAGTTAACCAATAATGGAAATTCTATAGGTCCCTGGCCAGGGGTAGATGAATAAAATCAGGAAACAGTATTTACTGTTTAGGAAGTGAAGGCAAGAAAAGGTTAAAAAAGGAGCTTAAATTCTTCAATATTATCATATTATCATGTGCTGTATGGGTATGGACTAACACAGGACGGAAAAAAGTCTACTTGATTTTGGATTCATGCTAATCCATTCAACAAGGATTAGTTTAGTACACGCAACATGATTCATCCACCTATAGAACTTGCCATCTAGACAGAGTCATAGGCAGTCAATAAATAACCTGACAAATATATAATTAAAAACCACGATAATTTCTAGAAAGAAAAAGAAAAAAGGTTCTCTGAGAGAGTTTAATAGGGAGGCCTATTTTCGATGGATGAGTAAGTGAAGGCATCCCTGGGAAAGCCAAATTTACCCTAATACTGGAAGAATAAGCAGGAGAGAGAGGCAGGCCATGAGTGGGAGTAAAAGAGCAGCATGTGCCATCATCCTGGAAAATAACATACAATATGGCTGAGGCATAATGAGCAAGAGGCCAAATGGCAGGAGAGGAAAGAAGATGTGGGCAAGTGCCAGACCAGACAATGCCTTGTAGGTCATGGTGAGGAATTGATACTATCGCTATTCAGTGCTGTAGAACACCACTGATATTTGAAGCAGATAAATAATATGATGCAATACAAATACACTCTAGAAATGTCACTCTGAGGGCTGTGCTAAGACTGATTTGGAAAAGGGCAAAAGTGCAAGTGGGGAAAACAAGTTACAAGTATATTGTAATGGTCACAAAGAATGACAAAGTTGGCTTGGACTAAGGTGGCAGTGGTACAGATGAAGAGAAGTGAGTACATTTCATGTATACAGATGTGATTGGCTGTAACTAATGATTGTTACTGGATCAATTTTAATGCATTATTTGAGGCAGAATCTTGATTGTTGATTGTTGAGCAATGAATGAGAAGTAAGGAAGCAGAGGGCAAAGGGAGACGAGTCTTTGGAAAAGCTGCTGCTGGGAAACAGAGAGACGGCAGTAGCTAGCAGAAACCTCAGGGTCTACGAAGGATTTTCAGTCATCCATTCATTTATCCATTCATTTCAGGCAGTGAGTGACTTAAGATTTTTGTTTGTTTGTTTGTTTTCCTGAAGCGCAAGGTAGAACAGAAACTGACAAACTGAGGAGGCAACAGATAACCAACAGAAGTAAAGTAAGCAATAGGAAACTATTGTCCTAAAGCAGACAGGGTATAATAAGGCCCAAAACTGTGGTAGGAAAAGTTCCTATGTTAGTAGAGCATCACAATCCCCTCTCTCCCAGTAGAGCACGCTGGTTAAAAGCACTGGCTAGTAACTGAGGCTGCCTGGGTTTGAATTCTGTATCTACTAATTAGTATGTAACCTTGGACAAGTTCTCCAGCATTTCTTGACCTGAGTTTCCACATTTATAATATGCAGCCAGTAACAGTGCCACTCTCATAGTGTTGTTATGAGAAATATACACATAAGGTGGTGTAAGTGAAAAGCCTTCAAATAGAACTTGACCCAGGAAATTCTCAATATATTTTTGTTTTCATTGATAATAATAACAATAATCGTCTTAGTAATAATAACTATCTCTTTTTCTGAGGTTTGGTTTGACAAAGAAGGGGTTAAGAAAAGATATAGCTAGCAATAACTTTGTAGGTAGAAAAGATATTGGAGATTCTGAAGTGCTTTTTCTCTAGCAACTAAGAGGTTAGGTTGTTTGTGATAAGTGAAAAGAATGGGAAGGAGACACACAGAAGACTTGAGGAGAGTGGGTAAGATATGGTATCCAGTGTGGACAGATAAAAGGCCACTGGATGGGAACAAGTGAAACAACTGCTAAAACAGCATTGAGAGTCCCATTGAGGCAAAAGCTAAAGTGTCATAAAGATACCAATTCACTCAGTTCACCAAAGGGAACTGGAAGGAAGAAAGCCAGAGAGTGAGAGGCGTAACGTGAATGCTAAGGAGTTTGGGTTTTACTCTGTGAATTCAGGGAGACACCAGAGGCTGTTGATACAGAAATCATACAAAAAAATATAGGTCTGGGGCAGTGTCTGTGGCTCAAAGGAGTAAGGTGCCAGCCCCATATACCGCAGGTGGCCGGTTCAAACCTGGCCCCGACCAAAAACTGCAAAAAATAAATAAGTAAATAAATACAAATGTATAGGTTTTTAAGAAGAATACATTAATAGTGCCAATGGGAGAAGACTGCAGAGGCAGGAATTCTTTCTGGTTGGGAGCCGCTCACATTAGTGCAGATGATTCTACATGTTTCCAATGGCATCTGGTTAAGGGTTAAGAAGTATTGGGGTATGTTCACAAAGAAGTGAACACAATTTCAGCACATATCTGGGAAAAATTGCTTTAGCAAAATTTTTACTTTTATAGATCAAAACTACACTATTTTTTAAATCTCAGGTCCATACTTAGGTTTAATCATTGTCCTATAATTAAATTCAATACACATTTATTTATTGTCCATTTTATACATGATATAGTTCTAAGCACAGCAATGGACACATATTTAAAAGATTAAGATATATCATTATTCCAAAAATATTTCCTTGATATGAGTTTAGCTCATATCAAAATTTGACAAATCCTGACTAATACTGTCTTAGGTAATTTACATGGTGTAAACTACTTTGTAACGTCCTTGACTTTTTTCCCTCTGCAGATATGTAGCTAAGGATGGTGAGAATAAATAAGGGAACAAAGTTACTTCACGTACACACAGCCCCAGGATTATTTACGGTTATGTGCATAAACAAGAAATCTCTTCCATTTTCTATTTTGCTTTTAGTTCAGAAGGTATATTGCTTTTTATGTGCCCAAACTTCATTCCCTCAGTGTGGTACCAAGGATATTCCTCATGAAGGACTCACTTGGCAAACTAATACATCTTCCGAGATAAACTGCATTCAAAAAAAGAAATGGCTTCAGAGAAATTGTGTGGTGTACCTACTGTAAAACTCATAACCATCATGACATAGCTGAATTCTCAGAGGGTATATAGCCTTGCTTCAATTATAATATGAATCCAAGTAGCTTACGTTTCAAGCATGGACTTTGGTCTAGAAAATTTTACTATTTAATATTATACTAAATAGCTGCTAGTTAATAATACTATCTAACTGAGTCATTAATTTTCCTTGTCTAAAAATAAGAGAAATATCTTCTATAGAACCTTTGGATGCCCTATCTGATCCCTAATACACATTCTTGATTTTCTTTGCAAGGATTTGACAGAATTCTCCTACCTCACTGTAGGCAATGTCATGTCTTAAAATTAGTAAACTATCAACAGGGGCAACCAGTTACTATACATGTTCAAAAGAAACACGCTGTGTCCTATCTATCATAGTTTGACATTAAATAGGATTTTTAAATTGCAAAGTATCAAATTAGATCAATTCTACTATATTATTTGAAAAGTTAGAAAATAGCTTGAATGAAGCAGACAGTGTTTGATTATACTAATTAAAAATTTCTTAGTATGCAAATGGAAAATGTTCAGTAAGCCAAGGTAGAGCTGACAATCATAATGGAACTATTTATTTACATAGCAAACAAATTTGCATTGAACACCTAAATAATAAATAGCTTATTCTCTAAGAAATAAAATAAAACTTGATGTCCTCTTTTCTGTTCTTTTTTTTTTAAACCCAACTATTTGAATACCAACACTGGGAAATACTTTTATATAACTATATTTTTAAAACATAATTTATGCCTAGACATTTTTATAACCCTTAAAAGAAAAAATAATTCATTCCAATAATAATTTAAACACAGAATGACTTAACTGTATGATGTATATTTGCATGATTTTCTTCCCAACTAAAAGAGCACATTTCAAGCTTTCAATCAATTTATGATAGTCTATAAGAAATCTGAAAATCCTTGTGCTTTTTCTGACCCAAAGTATACCACAGAAAAGAGTGCCTAGTATTTTAGTATTTATCTAGGTATTTCTCTTTTATTTCAGCCTATGTTTTGGGGGGCCAAATTCTAACACCAAGATCTAAATGAAAGAGAACATAGACGATATAATACTGTACACTGTATGTCATATATTAATAAAGTTAAAAATCAGTCCTTAGTGAGATGATACCATGAAATATTTTCAGGTACTTTGTGAATATTTTTCACTATCATAATAAATAATAAGCAAAAGAGGACTTTTGTCTGACAGCTTACATTAAATTATGTATCTCTACAGTAACAAAGAAAAAAATCAACCATTAGAAGGTATTCCTTTACACTGTTTTTGAAAATATTACCTCCCAGCTGAGTTTGGGGACCTTTACTTGCAATACATACCACAACTCCAAACTGCTCAGGTTCACAGAGGTCATCATATTCATTCTTAAGCTGTCCTAATTCATTGAGCATCTTCTGCTCAGGTAGATGTTTTATAAGGTTCTAAAAGAAATAAAAGTATAAAAGTTTAGTGTTTTATTATTAGGATTTTTAAATAGACATTAACAATTATAAAACTGATTAACGAGGATAGTAAATTTCTGAGAGTAGCTCTTTTACAGTACCAGCCTATCCTCCCCTCCCCACTATAAACTGACCTAACATGAACTACAATGAAATGTGAATAAGATGTACAACCTCTTTGGTATCTATGTAATATAATACACAAATGTTGAATAAAAACATCACATAGAAGTGAATGGAATTTCAAAATAGAGTAAACTTCTGGACCTTAAAAACATAGCATAATTGTTACACTTTATTTTCTGCCACAATAAATAAGTCACGGTAAATTAAAAACACAAAAATATTACGTAGAATAAGCCCATGAACAATAATACTAAAAAAGGAAGTATCAACTTTACTACTCATAACTTTTTAAAACTTGTACTCATCTTCAATCTTATAAACCACACCTGCACTGTGCAACAATCTCTAATTATGTATAATGTCTGTATTTAATGGCACAATGCTTTCCTACTTGTAATGGATAATCAAGCAAAAGTAATAAAGTCTGATTATGCTCGAGTTTAAAGCTTCTTATGAACCGAATATTTGTATCCTTCCAAAATCCACGTTTTGAAGTCTAATAATCAATATGATAGTCTTTAACAGTGGAGCCTCTGGGAAGTAATTAAGCCATGAGGGTGGAGGTCTCGTGAATGGCATTAGTGCCCTCTTAAAAGACTAGAAACTTTGCTCTCTCACTTTCCATCATGTGAGTTTACAATGAGAAGACAGCAGACTGCAACTTGGAAGGGGGCCTTCTCCAGAACTCAACTATGTTGGCATCTTGAACTTCTACTTCCAATCTCCAAAATAGTGAGAAATAAATTTCTGCTGTTTGTAAGCTTCCCAGGCTCTGGTACTTTGTTACAACACCCTGAAACAAGCCAAGGCCTAAGAATAATTGATAAATTCATCTCAACCTAGTTTATATCGGACTTTGGTACATTTTTAATTATCTCTACATTAGCCTGCAACTGACATTTTGAGAACTCATATGGGATTTCAATAAACATATGAAAGGGAGGAAAGCAGAAAAAAAGATTAAAGAAAGTGTGGATGGTACAAAATGGCAGAGAAAGAAATTCCAGTGATTAATCCCTCTATCAAATCCACCGCTGAGCTAGAAACATTGATTGGAATAAACTATTTCAGGACTCTGGAACATGATTAGATACTTGCAACAACATGGGAGTGCTTGATAAAGGGAGATATGGATATTTTCTAGTAAGAGAATAAAGTGCACAGGAAGGGCACTGGAAGAGCAGAATGATGTCAGCATAGGCAGGTGGAACTTATTTGCCAAAAATGTGGGGTTGTACATTTCAGTTGGTTTGGCAATTCCACAATGGACTAGAAAGAAGCTTGCTTTAGTTTCAACCCTCTTGGACTACATCAGCTAATAGCATCTATTGTAAGATTTAAATAGACAAAACACCTCCTCCCCGACCTCTCTGGAGTCAGATATTTAAGGAAATCTGTCATGTCACTCGGTGACAGCACAGATAATAAAACACAAACTTCAATGACTACATACCAAAAAAAAGTATACTTTGCAAAAACTATTTGGAAAAGTCACCAATGGATGGCCATAGCTCACAACAAACAAAAATTAGCAGTCTGGAGGGGAATCAGATTTATAAAGTTATTACATTATAATACCCAGAATGTCCAGTTCTCAATCAGAAGTTACAAAGCATACAAATAAACAGGAAAGTGGGGTTCATGCAAAGAAAACAAAGAACTTGGAAGACACTAGTACTGAAGAAGCCCATACACTGAAGTCATCAGTCATTCAAAAACATTAGATCAACTATCTTAAATATGTCCAATAAGTTAAAGTATACTATGGACAAATAACTGAAGGAAATTAGGAAAATGATGTACAAACAGAATGAACATCTCAGTAAGAGATAGAAATTATAAAAAGGAACAAAGTTAAAATTATAGAAGTGAAAGTAATAATAATTCAATAACTGAAATGGAAAACTCACTAGAGGAGTTCAGCAGCATTTTAAGCAGGAAGAAGAAATAAGCAGTGAACTCAGAGATAAAGAAACTGAAATGATTAAGTCTGAGTTGCAGACAGAAAAAAAAAACAATGAAATAAAATGAAAAGAGTCTGAGAGACCTCATAAAGCATACCATATTGTTCATCATGGCATTCCCAGAAAAAGAAAAGAAAGGAAAAGGGACAGGAAAAAATTGAAGAAATAATGGCTGAAACTTCTTCCCAAATCTAATTTAAAATATGCACATACATATCCAAGAAGCTAATCAATTATGAATAGGATGAACTCAAAGGGATCTACTCTGAGATATATTATCATCAAATTGTCAAAATCCTAAAATAGAGAATTTTTAAAGCTGCAAGAGATAAGTGACTTGTCACATACAAGGAATTTTCAATAAGATTAGTACCAAACTTCTCAATAGAAATCATGGGTAGTGGTATAGATGATGGAATAACATATATAAAGTCTTGAAAAAAATTATCAAACAAGAATTCTATACAAAGCAAAACTATTCTTCTTCAACAATGAAGGAGAAATTAACATATTCCCAGTTGAAAGTAAAAATACAAAACAACACTGAGGTAAAATACATCAATAGTAAACCTGTCCTGTAAGAAACACTGAAGAGATTCCAACAGGCCAAAATAAAAGGATGCTAAACAATACCCTAAAGATACAATACAATAAGAAATAAGAACAAGTGTAAAGATAACTACATAAATAAATATAAAAGCTAATGTTATTTCACTTTTGACTCATGATAGCTCTTTTTTCTATATGATTTTAAATGCCAATGAATAAAATAATTGTAAATGTATGTTAATGGGCATACATCATATAACTATATATTATGTGATAACGATAATATAAAAGGGTAGAGACAGAGATGTATAGAAAGAAACTGGTTGAATATGATTGAAATTAAGTTGGTTTTATTCAAATTAGGTTGTTCTAATTTTAAGTTATTAATTGTAATCCCCCAGGTAACTACTAAGAGAATAACCTAAATCATTAGGAAAAAAAGGAAGGAATCAAAATAGAACATTAATAAAAACCTCAATAAAAAAATACAGTAATATGGGTAGCGCCTGTGGCTCAAAGGAGTAGGGTGCCAGCCCCATATACCAGAGGTGGCGGGTTCAAACCCGGCTCCAGGGCTTGGCGCCTGTGGCTCAAGCAGCTAAGGCGCCAGCCACATACACCTAAGGTGGCGGGTTCGAATCCCCAGCCCGGGCCCGCCAAACAACAATGATGGCTGCAACCAAAAAATGGCCAGGCGTTGTGGCGGGCGCCTGTAGTACTAGCTACTTGGGAGGCTGAGACAGGAGACTCGCTTGAGCCCAGGAGTTGGAGGTTTCTGTGAGCGTGATGCCATGGCACTCTACCCAGGGGGATAGCTTGAGGCTCCGTCTCAAAAAAAAAAACCCGGCTCCAGCCAAAAACTGCAAAAAAGAAAAAAAAAAAAACAGTAAAGAAATTAAGAAAAAAGATATTAGAAAACAAATAGCTCAATGGCAGAAATAAGCTATTCTTTATGAGTAATTTCTTTAAATGAAAGTAGATTAAACTCTCTAATAAGTATGGACTTTTTTTTTTTTTTTTTTTGCAGTTTTTGATCGGGGCTGGGTCTGAACCCACCACCTCCGGTATATGGGGCTAGCGCCCTGCTCCTTTGAGCTACAGGCACTGCCCATAAGTATGGACTTTTTAATCCATTGGCAGAATAGATTTAAAAATGATATATCTATCTGCAATCTTTTAAGATTCACTTTACATACAGATACAAAGAGGTTGAAAATAAAAGGATGAAAAAGGGTATCTCACGTACATAGTAACCAAAAGAGAGATGTGGTTGCTATGTTTTTGTCAGACAAAATAGACTTACAAAAGTTAGCAGGAGACAAAAGAGATAAAAGGTTCAACCCATCCAGAAGGTATGATGATTATAAACATGCCTACCAAAATTATAGAAACAGAGCTCCCAAATTATAGAAAAATTGGACAGAGTTGAAGGGAGAAATGGAGAGTGCCACTAAAATAGAGAATTCAGTACTGTACTTTAAATGATAGATAGAACTGGATGGAATATTAATAAGTAAAAAGAAGCTGAACAATGCTATATGCCAATTAGATCTAACAGACATATACAAAATAGTCCATCCAACAACAGCAAAATGTATATTCTTCTCAGGTGCACACAGAACATTTTCCAGGATAGATAATATGTCAGGCCAGAAAAAAAGGCATAATATATTTTAAACAAGTGAAATCATACAAAATATTTTTTGTGATCACAACGGAATGAAACTAAAAAGAAATAACAGAAGAAAAAGTAGAAAGTCAGAAATTAATCAATATACTCTTATACAACCAATGGATCAAAGAGAGAATCACAAGGGAAATTAGAAAATACCTTGAGATGAATGAAAACAAAAGCACAATATTCTGAAACTTACGGAATATAGTGAAAACAGTGCTAAGAGAGAAAATGATAGCAGTAAATGCTTATATTAAAGGAAAACTAAGACCTCAAATCAATAACCTAACTGTACATTTTAAAGAATTAGAAAAAAAGAATAGCAGACTAAATCCAAAGCTAATAGCAGGAAGGAAATGATAAGGATGAGCAATAAACAAAATAGAAAATTTAAAACCAATAGACAAAAATGAACAAAGTCACAAGTTGGCTCTACAAAAAGAAAAAAAATTAACAAACTTTCAGCTAGACTGATTAACCAAAGAGAAGGAGAGAAAACTCTAATAGCTAAAATAATAAACAAAAGTGAAGATGTAATTTTATAGAAATAAAAAGATTATAAGAGAATACTATGAATAAGTATACATCCCCAAAATGGATAACACAGAAGAAATGGACTAATTTCTGGAAACACACAGACTACTTAAATGGACTCAAAAAGAAAT